ATCGAGAATTTCCGTGGCTAGTTATGTGGACGAAATCCGTCGACGTAGATTACATGCCACATTATTCTCCTCATAGCAATTCTGAGATGTATGGACCGGGTGCCCAGGCTGAGTATTGACCCAATTGGGGCTCTTATCATGCTTGTGCATATATCTCGAAAAAGCCTCAGGAAATAAATGTGCCGGCCACCAACGGAGAACACATCACATGACCGTGGTCCCGGATCGCCGGCCATCATTGCTTCCTCACTCTTTTGGACGCGCTCAATCGAACGAACAGACGAACGGACGAACGAAATAAGAATTGAGCAGCACTATCGCCAGCGCACCCGCCAGCCTCTCTCCCGCAACCCCCATCCACCGCGCTTCCTTCATTGAGTCGTTACGGTCATGGGCGCGTCCGAAGAGCTCGAATACCTCAAGTCGCTGGTTGCCCAACTCAACGACAAAATCTCGGCCCTCGAGGAGCGAGCGAAGGGCGCCGTGACGCGGAAGACGCCTGCTCAGCAGCTCCGGACAATTCTCATAGGCCCCCCGGGTGCCGGTGAGTGGTGTACATGTCTACCTTGGAAGGTATATTAATGCATGGCCTAGGCAAGGGTACGCAGGCACCGAGAATACGGGATGAGTTCTGTGTCTGCCATTTGGCTACCGGGGACATGTTGCGTGACCAGGTGAACAAGAAGACACCGCTCGGTGTCGAGGCAAAGAAGATCATGGACGCTGGTGGACTGGTCAGCGATGAGATCATGGTCGGAATGATCAGGGATCAGCTGGAGCACAACAAGGAGTGCAAGAACGGGTGAGGGCTCCTTCATTTCCGCCGTACTTCCGCCCAACGGCCATGACCAACTGCATTCTAATCCACCTATGTCCTGAAGTTTTGTGTTGGATGGCTTCCCTCGCACGGTTGTTCAGGCTGAGAAACTCGACTCCATGCTTGCCGCCCGCAAGGAGAAGCTGGACTCGGTCGTAGAGCTCCTGATCGACGACCAACTCCTCATTTCTCGTATCACTGGCCGCCTGATCCACCCCGCCAGCGGGCGGACATACCACAAGGAGTTCCAGTAAGTCCGAATAGTGCCTTACTCTGCCTTCCGACCCTCACAAATTCCCTTCCACCCAAAGCCCGCCAAAGAAGCCCATGGTCGATGACGTCACCGGCGAGCCGCTCATCCAGCGCTCAGACGATAACGTCGAGACGCTGCGCAAGCGGCTCGCCTCGTTCCACTCGCAGACGGGCCCCGTCGTCGACTATTACAAGACAAAAGGACTCTGGAGGCCGATAGATGCTGCGCAGTCTCCGAGCGTCGTTTGGGACAATCTCAGAAAGGTCTTTACCGAAGGTAAATAGAGTGTATACGCAGATATACTTGCCTATATTATATAACGTAAGATCTTGGTATACCTGGCGTTTTGTGAGTGGTGAGGGACGTGGAAGGTATGTAGGACGAGGTAAATACGTTGGATATCGGTGTCAGGGCGCATGGTCTTGCCCTGTGTTCCATGTGTCTACCGAGGTGTGTTTCCAGCATGTACCTGCTTCATCTCTGCTTCGATGGAAACGCAAGTCCCTCTCTTCGCTCTCAGGTCCGAGAAGTAAGGAGTCTATTGCATTTGCTGAGTTGACTGCTGACGTTACTTTGTTTTCAGCACAGCATATGATGGCAATATGGATTAACCTTCTAGCGGGGATAGCGATATTTGCGTATAGTTGCAACCTCAAATAACCGCCGCACCGGTTTGCTGCCTTCTCCAAAATACCTTCTGTGCCGGCGGCCGATGTGGTGGTGAGCGCTCCTTGACATTTCCCCATTGCGCATTTTTGCTGATGAGCTCCAAATTTCAAGATGGAAACGAGGAGGTGTGCTCCGGATGATCAAGCAGAATGCCCTGACACTCGCGCTAATGGGTCGCAGTACCCTGCGCCAGCCACCAGATTGGGCGAGGAGAAGATGGTATCGTACTTCCGCAGCGTCTAAAATTTCAAATGAAGGAAGCAAGCATGGGCTCAGCTGCTGAACCCTCGGTTCAGTTCAGTCGACTCGAATCAACACAGTCTGAGGCTTTCAGGATGTTTACGACAATATGTACGTATCCTTTGTTCCTCTTCTCTTTCTCTACAACCAATAGTCAACATTCCTTGTTATCGGAAGACGTTGATGTAAACTCTGGTCTCGGTACATTTAGCAAAGAACACGTTGCTTGTACAGCTTCGCGTTCCTTTCGTGGTGCACCTGCCTATTGGAGGATAGCCTACCCCGCGGAAGCGAACCTAAAGATAGGTACGAGGTTAGTTGAGGATAAGGAGCTAACTGATCTACCACCGGCATAGTTGATCAGGTTTCATTGATCCTGAACGTACGCGTGCACCGCTATATAGAGTGGCGTTGCAGTGTAGAGCCCGTTGTTTACTTGGAAGCGTCACTCCATGGGTCGGTCTTCGGCAGCCAAGGCATCCAGCAGCTTGCAGAGAGGGACAGCTTGTCTACCATGCAGGTGAGTATCAGCGCCTATCGCGGCGCTTTGAGCACTTTAACCATGGCTCCATCGTATCAGGAAGAAGAAAATGGTGTGCAGTTAGACTTGACTTGATATCAAAGCGCGTGCTGATCGACGCGGACCGCTCAGAAATGTGATGGTGCGCGGCCCTCCTGCGGACAATGTGCAAAGTCGGTCCGATCCCGCGGCTGCGAGTACGAGGATACCAAGAAGAAATCCCGAACGCAGGCTCTGAGGGAGAAAGTGGCCGCTCTCGAGGAGCGGCTGAAGGAGCTGGAACCTCAGGGTCCCGCTCGAGCACGCGCCGAGGAGATACCGGGGCCATCCCAATCAATCCTCGCGGACCCTTCCATGGTCGCATCCTCCTCGTCTCTGGATCCCGACGGCTCGGCACGGGCGCCACAGCCGTCTTCTGCTCTTCCGAGTCTAGATGAGACATGGCTTTCCCGCGATCCATCTGTCTCCAGCATGCCAACCTGGTTATCTCCTTCGAATATCAGCGAAGCGCCGGCTGGTATAGGCGGGGACGCAATACCTTGGGAGACCGGGTACACTCTGTGAGGCCCATTTTACCTCAGTTACCTTGTACTCGACCGACCCATGCAACAGTTTAGATATATTTCTGTCACATCACCAGCAACTTGGCCTGCATGTCAACCTGCCCAGGTTCAAGTCATCTCTGGGTCCTGGGCCTGAGACGAAAGCACACCCCGCGTTGATCAGTGCCGTGTATCTTTGGGGATGTCATTTCGCGCAATCCCCCTCGCTCAGGGACTTGAAACCCCTCCTTCTCACAAGGACACTTCATTTCTTGGAAACGGGCTTGGACTCACCGGAAGAAATGTTGTGCATCATCCAGGCGTCTTGTCTGATGTCACTGTATTTTTATATTCATAGCCAGCTGTTGGATGCTTATAAGCATGCAGCGCAGGCAGCTGCTTTGGTGGCCCATCTCGGAGCGCATCTGCGGGGCATCTCCCGTACAACAGACCCAAACCAAGGAATTCCCGGCGTCGCGGCTGGCGATATACATCTAGTCGAATGCCTGGCCGCTTTCTGGCAATCTTTCGTGCTATGCTACACGCTGTCTGCTCTGCTTGGGGTTTCACCGCTTTGTATGCATGCCATAGAAGCCAACGAAATGGAGAAGCCCATCGTGGCTGCCCTCATACCCGTACATCTTCTCCCTTGCATCGCATCCTCGCAGCAGGTCGCTTATAAAATTCCGAGTTTAGCCTATCCCTGACTCGCGACAAGGCAGCGAGCTAGCCTGTCCCGCAGCGGACGCTTGGTCGATACCGACTTTAAATGGTCTGTTCTTGCGGGCGAAAGTCACCGCTCTCTTTCATCGGTCGTTTCTCGTTGCCTCACGTATGACGTTTTCATTCTAGGGACCTTCGCTGTCTTACAGTCACCACAGACACGATAGCATCGTCGCCGACGCTGCTTTATGCCATGGAGCAAGAGCTCGATGAGGCACTGGCTTACCTTCCGCCTACGTCTCACGGGACTCTACCCAGCATGGAGGTCTTCCCGGTCCTGGCGCTGGCTAATGCCATACGCATAAATCTATATAAGAATGTTCCGGGGCAACGCCATGATCGATGCCTGGGGGCAGCGTTTTCTATGGCATCAATGGTAACCCTCGTCACGGAGAATAACTGCAACCAAGTGGACCCGATTGTCAGCGTACGTCATGCACTTATTTGGTGAAGCGTCCTTGCTAAAAGGCTTTCTCGTTGCAGGCGTGCCTGACTATAGCCGCCCGGTTATTGATCGACCTACTGCCTGAAAACAGCCCTGCGCCTTGCGGTTACGGGTATCGCGAAGCTCTCAACGTTCTCGTAATTGCTTTGAGACGTCTGGGCGTGCTATTTCCGGTTGCTGGTACGTACGTGCCGATCACTTCTTCCTCGAGAAAGTGAATATCACTCAGTGTTCTCTTGCAGAGGGCTATGCTAACTCTTTGGACGAGGAATGGGCGCGAATGGTGGGCAAGAAAACTCTGTATTGTTATCTTTCCACGGGCGTCTCAGATGTTACTGTCCCTTACTATCCCTTATAGCGCTTCGTTGTTGGCCCGGGTGGATGGTTCGTGGTCGTGATGATTGAGACTTGGGGATATTTACTCGATTTATTTTCGATGCGCCTGAATTGGCGGTTGGGGGAATGGACGACTGTTCAGACGAATTCTCTCAAGAATCCAGTCCTAATGGCGCTCGTGCCTGACGATCAGCCACAGCACGGTTACATGCTGAGTTACCGAGTAGATAAGAAGCTGATGTGGCAAGGTGGCTGAGCTTGTGGGCGGTCGCCGGTGGCTGCACAGAGTGCTTTCGTTTATTACTTTTCTCCTTGTCTCTTCTCTTTTGCCATTTCAACGAACTCGTGTCGTACCTAAGCTGTACAACTGTACATCCCCCCTTGCAAGCTATCATTCTGCCGTTGTCCCTATGTCTGATTCAGACTACGCCGCCGCCGACGACTCTGACGTCGAATATCCTTTCTTGGACGACGATGTACGCTGCCTGCCTGGTTCTTCCGCTGCATTCTAATCATCGAATTTACAGGGCGGAGACCACGTCTGTAACGTGGACTATGCATCGAAAGGAAAGGAGAAAGAGCACACTACTCGGATATCTTTCAGGAGTCTTTCTCCGGACGAGCTCCAGAACATGATAGATGATGACATACGCGAACTCGCTGCTATTATACCTTGTCAGGTACAACTCCATAGACATTGTCTGAGGACTGCACAGAGTCTTCTGTTAGCTGACAATGTTGAAAGCAACCCGTTATTTCGATCCTTCTCCGCCACTTCCACTGGAATAGAGAACGTTTGCTGGAGAAGTACGTCGAGGACGCCGTGCAAATGTTCAAGACCGTGGCAGAGCCCTACGATCCACCTGCGAGTCCAACCCTTCGCCCAAATAAGCGTGCTCGTTTGGAAGCACCCGCGGACGACCCGAAATATTCCTGCGGCATTTGCTTCGATGAGTATGACAGTCATGATACCTTCGAGACCAGGTGCGGTCATAGGTTCTGCAATACCTGCTGGAATATGTATCTCGAAAGTAAGATCAAGGAAGAAGGTCAATGCTCTATCAAATGCATGGGCGACAGCTGTAAGACAGTTGTGGACGAGCCATCCATAGCGCAATTAGTCGATGCGTCTTGTTACCAACGGTTGGGCCTGTGATACGTTTATTCTTCATCCTGACACTAATGCATCGTTGATGACGACAGTTACCGAAAGCTATTGCAGGAGTCATACGTTGCCGCAAACCCTGCGCTACGCTTTTGTCCGCATCCTTCATGCACACAGACCGTCTATTGCCAAGGGGTAACCCAGTCTATCCTGGCGAGCGTTGTACCGACCGTCTCTTGCGGCGCGGAGCATCTGTTCTGCTTTGGCTGTGGTTTGGACTCGGACCATAAACCGCTGATATGCAAGCTGGTGAAGATATGGCTGAAGAACTCTAGGGAAGATGCTGGGACTGCGCAATGGATCAAGGCTAACACCCGTACTTGTCCTAAATGCCAGCAGAGCATAGAGAAGGCCGGCGGATGCAAGTGAGTGTTTAGAAGACATCCACTTGTCGCTGCTAACCGGATGATAGTCGTATGGTATCATAGTTTATCCTCCATGGCGAGCAAGATTTCCTGACTCGTGAATAATCTCTGATGTAGCTCTGCCGCCACTGCAATTACCAGTTCTGTTGGTTATGCATGCGCAAATGGGAGACTCACGGCTACAACGACGCCGTATGTAGCACGTGGAAAGAGCCAGAGCCTGATGAAAACATGACCGATGCAAAGAAGTCCCTGGAAAAATGGCTATTTTATTTCGACCGTTTCAACAATCACGAGGTCTCGGCCAATCTCGATCAAGAGCTAGTGGAGAGGACCAAGGAGAAAGTAGTCAAGGTCCAGGAAGCTAGCAACCTTTCATGGATTGAGGTGGGTCTCTGTCGGGTATGCCAGTGCAAGGGTACTGATGCGTCCTTCAAAGGCGAAATTTATGGAGGACGCGGTTGACGAGTTGACGAAATGCCGCAGAACACTGAAGTGGACCTATGCGATGGCTCATTTTCTCGCACCAGGGAACAAGAAACAAATGTTTGAGGACCTGCAAGCGTAACGGTCCTTTTCCGATTGCTCTCTTTACCATTACCAGCTGACCTCATCGCATAGAAACCTCGAAAAGGGGGTCGAAGATCTGTCGCAGTTGCTGGAGGAACCAATTGATCCAGAGTCGATCCAGAGTTTGCGTCAGAGAATGATTGACAAGACCGTGAGTCACTTCAACCCCTTCCCGTTGACTCTACATTAAGGGCATGGTAGGTGTATGTCCAAAAGAGACATGAGATATTACGCGAGGATACTGCGAGTCGCCTGAGCGAGGGAAACTGGGAATGGACCGTGCAGGTCGAGTAACGATCAATGTCTCCGGCTACGTTCATATCAACTCATAGCTATAATACGGTTGGTGGCGTATGCACTTCAGCTCCCAGTACGCACTCCTACTTTAGTAAGTACTAGGGAAGCCCAAATCAAATACTACTAGTACTACATCGCGCACGTCGCAAAATACGCCCTGATGATTGGTAGATCGCTCTCTTTGGCATCCACGTACTTATATAGATTTGTACATGAGATTACTTCTGTCATGTTTCATGACGAGAATATTGCCCGCCCACGGTACCGGAGCCTTGTAGTTGGTTATTCTCTGAACGCACTTGTTCACAGGTGAGCTGGAAGGTATCTCGGTATATGAGCAGAAACGGGTTTCGCAAGCTTAAGGGAGACCCGTTAGCACCTATGATTCGGGGGCCTTATCCGCCAGGCTCTGCATCTCACCTTCGTCAACCTCGATTGTGCACTTTATTTTGATAAAACAAGGCTGTTCTTTGTCTGCGGGCAGCAGAATCCCCGTAACGTGGAGGGTCTCGCCATCCTTTGGAGGATTAAGCTGCGAGCAAAGCTCTTTGTGATTCTTCCAGTCCTGATAACACACAGCTTGGTCAACCAACAGGCCGAATGTGTTGGAGAGACGCACGGAGACTTGGTGCTGCCGGCTGCAATAGAACTCGTCCTTACACCGGGAACATGCCATCACGCCTTCTGTCTTGTTACATACTTTGCAACGGCTGGCGTCGATCCTGTCTGCCATCGTCCAGATACTAGGTGCTTGGGTAGGACTAGTACTGTCAATTAGTGGGGTCAGAGGCGAGAACGATGGCCGATGCGTCTATCTGCCAACTGCGGTCTTCTAGCATACTGTAGGTGAGATCGTCGGCATCCTGAACGAGCAGTGTGGACCGAGGCCCTTCGAAGTGAAGTCAGATGGTAACTTATGATTGAATGAGTCGATGGGCTCCGTACTCATATGGTTTGCGGAGATACGGGTTCGTTCGCGGGGTGGGACCGACCACAGATGAGACGTCTTGTTGGATGCTTGGGTAAGGCTGGTAGAGCGACTATCACGTCTAAGGCGTCTTATCCGTCCTCCATGCTACATAGGAGATCCTGAGCGAGCGGCGGGACCGAGTCCCTTGGAAGTAAAGTATATCCGGCTGTTAAATCAATTCAGGTGGTAAGTTGAATGAAATGCCTCCGAGTCGATGGGCCCTTTACATGGATTGTGGAGCTATGGGCACGTTTGTGGTGAGCCTCAGCCTGGCAATCATAAGATGACCTTAGAGTACATACCGAAAGCCATAGAAGGGTGATCCTTGTGGGACTCTAGTCGGAGCAACACCCTGAAAATGACTCGATCCCGAGCTGGCATGATTAGCAAGGACGTCGATGTGAGTCTTCCTACTCATCCCTTCCCATGGACAACGCTATGGTTGAGACTTGGCAAGTTGTTCAAGAGGCATGAGGTACCGTCTGTGAAAGGATACCACCACACAGCCTGAGCGAGGGCAACCGCGAATGGACCGTTCAGTCCAGGTTCAGTCCAGGTTCAGTCGAATGACGAGTGCCAACCACATGATCATTTTAGGATACGGGTGGTAGCATACGCCGCTGACCTTCCTGTCAAGAACCCCAAAGCTCGGACTAGTGGAATCTAGGGGAGACACTGGGGTACTTGGAAAAGTACGTCGCAACAACGGGAATGTCATCCGCTGTAGCATCTACATATATGCTGTTGTACGTGAGGTTACTCTGGTCGTGCTTCATGACGAGAATATTACCCGCCCAAGGATGCGCTGCCTGGTTGTTGGTCATCCTCTGAATGCACCTATTGATAGGTGACCCATCCTCCAGGAACATCTCTCGGTGCCAGATCAGAAACGGGTTCTTCAAAGCGGGGCCATTGATGCCCATCCTGTCTACGCATAACGGCCACCCACGTTCCCCAATGAATGGAGTGCTGTCGAACATGTAGCCTTTCCCATAGCCAGGTTCTTCATCGTTGGGCTCAACTTTGCACTTTATCTTGACAAAGCGAGGCTGGTCTCGCCTATCTTTGGGGGGTTGAGCTGCCAACAGAGTCCTTTGTGATTCTTCCAGTCCTACAGCACACGGCTCCGTCAAAGTCCATGCACCTGAGATGACGAAGAAAGGCATACCAAAACTTGGTGCTGCCTGCTGCAATAGAACTCGCCCTTGCACCGGGAACAGGTCATCACATCTTGTGTCTGGTTGCAGACTTTGCAACGATAAGCCTCCGCTGCGTCCGCTGTCTGTTGCCCTGTCATCTGTGTGGACATGGCGGTGAGGGAGAGAGAACAGATATTGAAAGAGCGGCTATCGAGGCGCCTATCTGCTATTCTTGCATACCGCATGGGAGATCCTCGGCATCCTGAACAAGCGGTGTGACAGTAAAGTCTCCGGAAATCAAGTCAGGTGGGTACGGTGGAATGAGATGTATCGTTGGGCTGGGTATTTGAGTTGTGGAGCTATGTGTATGTTCGTGGGTGACCCTGAAGCTGGCCATAGATGAGAGTTGATAGTGCGAGGGACGAAGAGTTAGCTTAGGGCTTAGAGGGAATAATATCAATGCTCACAGACGCGCCTTTATACGGTATAGCTTTCGTCGTGTTGAATGCCTCCTTCGAGCGCGATAGCAGCGCCCACTATGAGAAAATATTGCATCTCTGCGGACCCACGGACTACTCACCAATTCGGTACTGCATCTGACGTCTACCACAACTTCAGGTGATCAACGGACAATATGGTCGGAACAAGTCTTACATTCATTATGCTAGAAATACACGCTTTGTTCAGGACACGCCATTACCGCACTTCCAAGATTACTGATGAATCGCAGGTTCCGTCCTCATCCGGATACCATTCATAAAATGCTTGCACGGTTGGCAAATCATCCATGGACATATCAACCCACTTCTCGAAGGTCCCTGTACCTGCGACTTTCATGGCAAGCAGGTTACCGGCCCAAGCGTGAGGCGCCTTGCCCCGCATAAGGCGCCTAACGCAACGGTTCGGAGGCGAACCGTCATTAAGGAAGTTGTCCCGGATAACATGATAGATGGGCTGCCTGAGTTTGCGACCAGAGTGCCCAATGCGGTCGATCAATTGGTAGTCGTAGCAGCCGCCGCCCAGAAACATCGCGAGGTCCGGCTTGTACATGATAGTTTCGTCATCGCCTGGGATTTCACGCTTCACTGTGCAGTGGACAGCGACCAGGCGGGGCACATCCTCGTCGGCCGGAAATAGCATTCCTCTCACTGTAACGACGGCGCCGTCGGGGGATGGGGGTGCCCGACAGCCGCTCTTGTGGACGGGCCAATCCTGAGAGAACCCGTTGGTCACGAGGCGTTCAGTATATTGGGGAAGCGCTCACCGCGCGCTGATGCTCCTCACCGCAGTAGGACACGCTCTTGCACCGAGAACAGACTCTGACGCCAGTGGTGACACCACAGACGTTGCAAGGCCGTTGAAGTGGCTCTACTTTAAGATCCGATTAAGAACGGACGTCGGGTGCGTGTTCCGTAAGATATTCTGGCACAAATCCATGTCAGGGTCGCACTCACCGGTGTTCGAAGATGTGGAAGGAGGAGACATGCTTTGGTGCATTCGAATACTCACGATTGCGGGGTTCTCTGGCGTTCAGTAGCGTCAGCCAAATCGGCTGTGCACCGAATGTAATCTGAGACAGCCGCGTTCTCGGCCGCGTATAGCAGCGACTGACCAGGGAAATGGCTGATCGCTCACGCCGCAATACATAAATGAAACCGAGATTGACTTGTTTCTATGGGATCATGTAGTACGCATCCGCTGTCATAGGAAAGGTTTACAGAGTCCTATCGCCTGCATTGTAGTGGCACGTGCTCCCGCGCTAAGCCCCATACGGGGTAGTTGTTCCCTGTTTGGCCCCCGCCCGAGGCGCCCTCCCCCTGAGCTTCCAACCTTTATTCGCTCTCCCAGGCCTCTACAAAAGCCTGCTGGGCATCGCTTGCGCTTCAGATAGGGCTCTCGACGACGTGCGCGACGACGCCGGACTTGTGCTGATTCGACTTCATATCGTGAGTGGGCCCGCTGATCCGGACTACGGCTGGCTGACAGGCTCTGGACATCATCCACTGTCTGGGCCTACAAATATTAGACCGTCAGCCGTCGTCTCTTCTGCTCTATCTGCCGTGCCCAAGCTGCCCAGTGTGCTCTGGCCACGAAGCATCCCAGGTGCGTGCGGCAGGACGTCACCGGATATATCCTGCTCATCCTTGACCAACCGCGCAGGTCAAATCTACCGGACGCTCGGCCGGAAGCCTTTGTGTCATATAGCTCGTACATTCTACCCCCCTCATCTCAAGGGCGATACCCCTTCCACCTCCAATCGTTTATATCTCTTAATAGCCCAAAATCCTCTTACCATACCGCGGTGGGTTGTTGATATCAGAACTGCACTATCAGCCGCCGCACCTGAATTTAAAGTACGTCTCCCATGTCATAATTAGTTTATTTTTGGCTTATGCTGAAGTGGGGTCGGGCAGTATATACACGTAAATCAAGACGCCTTTGGAATTTTACGAGCGCGGACATGCTTACCGCCTCTTACCCATCTTCGCCGTCCATGGAGAACCTTTTCAGCCGGGATTCCAACAGTGCGGGGGCTGCTCTACCCTCCATTCCCCGCCGTCTGTCGTCCTCGAAGTCAACGCGCTCCCAAGCGACAACCCCTCCGAAAGTGCAGTCGCCCTCGGCTGTCCTTGTCGTTCAGCCGCCAACCCCCGACTTAGGAGCCGAACAGACGTCGTCTACCCCGCTTCCCCGCCCTTCTTCTGCTTCGACAGCGGACGAGAGATCTGCCTCGCGCCCGTCGATAGTCTTTGAGCCGACACAAATTAATATCGCGCCCCGCGCGAAGCGTGTCCGCGGTCATCGCCTGCCCCTGCTCTGGCCTCCTGAGGACTCGACCCCCACGCCCTCGCCTGTGTCTTCGCGCACGAAGGAGGACGCGACCCCTAAATCCTCTCAAACACCGCAACCAATTCAAAAGGCTGCTACGCAGGTGGAGTCGAGGGGGAACGCATCCGATGCGGAGACTCCGCGCCCGAGCCAGATACATAGGCACACCTGGTCGGGTAGGAGCGGGAGCAGCCGGCTGAGGATACAGAGCGAAGCGGTCACTGCAGCGGAGCGAGAGATTGCCGACACGAGCATCGAGAGCGTCGCCTCTGTCGCTACCAGAGCGGTTTCGATGGGCGGCACACCTACGGATACGCCGACGATACGGAAGAAGTCGGGGGAGATCGTCAAGTCGTCGCTCAAGTCGCACAAGCGACCGATACGCGGGGACCTGAGCGTCGTTACCAATATGCCGGTGCCCAAGAGCGAGCCCACGACGCCGAACCGCTCGGTGCATTTCAGCATGCAGCTCGCGCAGGTGAAGTTGTTCTTGGCGGAGCAGAAGCCACTTGCGGTCTCGCGGGATGGAAGTCCCACCGACACGAGCGAGGGCGACAGCGACTTCCCGTCGTTCATATACGGCTCCGCCGACGAGGCGCAGACAATGAAGGTACTCGTGATGCACGTCGTTAATATGCCGAAGAGGGTCCCCAAGGACGCGGATGTTGTATTGGAGGAGCTCGTGCTGTCGCGGGAGATGTCGGCCATAACAGGTCGGGTGAAGGTTAAGAATCTGGCGTTCGAGAAGCGGGTGGCGGTGCGTTTCACTTTTGACGATTGGCAGACGACGAGCGAGGTCACGGGCAAGTACGTCGAGTCGATCGAGGGCGGGGTGTACGACCGGTTTTCGTTCTCGATCCGGCTGAGCGACATCCTGTCGCGCATCGAGCAGAAGACGCTGCACCTGGCGGTGCGGTACACGTCCGCCGGGCGGGAGCTGTGGGACAACAACGGCGGCGCGAATTACCAGGCGAAGTTCTCGAAGTCGAAACCGCTTATGACGCCTACGTCGGACTCGGAGGGCGAGAAGAGCCCCATCGACGGCGCGGACTTGCACAGCAAGCTCGAAAAGGTCGCGAAAGGCCGCGAGACGATTGGGTCGATCCTGAGCAATGCGCCCGGTAAAGCCACGAAGGAGCCGAGCAGGGCGAAGTTCACGCTCAAGTCGGATAAGTCGCTGTCGTCGCGGTATGATTTTGCGACGTCGTGGAAGACGCCGTGGAAAGTGGGTGATGAGCCCTCGCCGTCGGCCGCGCACTCGCGGACGAGCACGTACCCTTCGACTTCGTCTAACTCCATTCCCTGGCCTACGAAGCGGAACACTGGTGCAGCCGCCCAGTCGAAGAAGACGAGCAATCCGTTCGACCCGGCGACGTTAGCTAAAGGTTCCCCTCGGGCGCTTGACGATGAAGAATTCCGGCCCACTACCTACCACATCGACTCGGACGAGGACAGGCCGTTCAAGGTCAAAGCCCCGAAGGTTGGCGCTAGGAATCACCAGCGGGGTTATTTTGACATTCGTGTCTCGGAGCCTTCGGCAGTCAGGAGGACCCCGCCTGGCACGCCCATTGTTACTACGCCTTCTCTCGAACTTGGGCAGCCCGACCGATCCCCGTTGCAGAGATTCAACTCGTTCCCTCCCACTGCAGCGGAGGTCAGTAGGTCGCCTCGTAGTCCCTCTGGCTCGCGCTCTCCTAATTGGACGGCTTTCCGCCATGTGATGAGGACTAATAGCGATGAGTCGACGCCCTCGATCATGTCGCCGTCCAACTCGTCCTCTTCTTCATCCCCTGATGGTACTCCACCATACGAGTCCTCACCTTCTGGCAGGGAGGGTGACGAATCGAACAGTTACAGCGCGTTCTTGAACCGGTAAGAGTTCGTAGCTCCATCGTTTATTCTCCATGCTGACACCTTTGACTCAGGTTCTGTTTTTATACCGGCTCTGATACCTCGCTCCTCGATGTCACGGTTGATACTGTTCCACGCTCGCACTCAGATCCCAGCATCGATGGGTACTTTTCGTCCCCTCCAAGCAACTTGTCCCCGTTCGCCTTCGCTACTCCGACTCGTTCAGCCAGCATGGACGACGTCGTGAGGAGCGGCTCGTCGACTCCTTTGGCTGGCGGTGTCGCGGCTTGCTAGCGCAGGTGCCTCAATTATCATTATGCAACCTTCCCAAGTCATATTATATGCCCCTATGCTCAATTCCATGGACACACACACAAGTAGACCTCTAGAGTACGCCCCGCATCTCCGAATACCGTATTTCCGCGATTCATTCTTCGCTACGGACATCGACGAGTTGTCACGATTCGACCCGAATATATACTGTATGTACGATAGTGGGTGGGGCGGTTTTGTTTGTCTGAATTGTGTCTCGTATTTGTATTTTTCCGTCCCGGGGTAAGCAGGTAGGCCAGCACACGTTCAGGCGATGATGCTTCCAGTACTATTTATCATTATAGTCAGGTGGTCCTGCATATATCATGTATTTGTATCGTATCTACCATTCGAGTTCGACTTTCACAAGGTGTCAGGCGCAGTGACTTGAGCCCTCCTATCCTAAAATGAAATGTATTTTCCCAAATTGGATATGTTGCAACTGCCACAATTCCACGGTCGCTTCATCCTGGGAATCCAAGTCGAAGCGCTAACTTCACTCGGTGGCGGCGCTCATTCCGGTTGTGCCCTTGCCTGCCAATATACCTTGCCTTTCCCCCCAATATTACTCTGCCTGTTGCAACGTGTACTCTAGCTGGGCCAATGCGACGAACTTAGAGCAAAAGTAACTGAAGATCGAAGGCAGTTTTACGAAAGGAGGCTTGTGCTTCAACCTGCAAGTACCAATCCAGGACACGAATTTAAACGCGATACTGCTGCTTCAAGGATAGATTCGAAGGAAGGCGAAAACTAGTGCTTCAACTCGAAACTCTCGGTACCTGTGCTAAGTACACGGAGGTCTCAAGCTCAAGAGGGTCGCGTCCAGAAAACAAATGGCTGCAGCAACATCAAGCCTCCCCGTCCTCCTCCCGCAAACCAGCTTCCTGTCCAACCCCCCGCCAGACGCGTGGCAGCCGAAGCGGTACCTCTCCGCTCCGCAGCCCCCGCCCGCCGAGGACGCGCGGTACGTCGACCCCGAGCTGGCTGCGCGGCAGGGTGTGGACGGGAAGGCGTTGAAGAAGATCCGCCCGCGGCGGACGGTGGATTATGGTGGGGGTATGGGGCGCTGGGCGTTGGTACGTGCTCAGCTCCAGTGAGAATGGGTACAGGATGGGTTGACTGATAAAGGTGGTGCTTAGATGCGGAAGCTGAGGCCGAACCCGACGTATGTGCCGCAGGTGAGGCCGGCGCTGCCGTATATCATCGACGTTCGTGTGTCTGTCCTCTCTGCCGCACAATTGAGTCTGAGTAACTGGTGTTGTAGTTATTGCCGCCGAAGGCGTATCCTGACAATGCCTCGACGTCCCTATGTACAAAGTTCGTGCACACGTCCACGAATAAGATCCGGTGCCCGGTGAACGTCGTCGTGGTGCGTCCCCCACCCCCTCCCCACCCATTCTCTCGCATCCGTTTACCATCGTCTCCTAGTGGACGCCCGAGGCGCGGCGCGTGCTCACCGGCTCGACGTCGGGCGAGTTCACGCTCTGGAACGGGCTCACGTTCAACTTCGAGACGATCCTGCAGGCGCACGACAGCGCGGTGCGCGCGATGACGTTCACGCACGCGGGCGCGTTCCTCGCGAGCACGGACCAGAGCGGCGTGATCAAGTACTTCCAGCCGAACATGAACAACCTCGCCGCGTGGCAGGGGCACCGCGAGGCGATTCGGGGCCTGAGTTTTAGTCCGGATGATAGACGGTTCGCGACTGCGAGCGATGATTCGACGATTAGGATTTGGGCGTTTGAGGAGAGTCGGGAGGAGAGGGTGTTGACGGGTGAGTGTGGGTTTTAACTGAGTGGAGGAGGAGATTGAGGAGTGTGGTAGGACATGGGTGGGATGTGAGGTGCGTGGAGTGGCATCCGACGAAGGGGCTGCTTGTCTCTGGGAGCAAGGACAACCAGATCAAGTTCTGGGATCCACGGACGGGGACCGCGCTGGCTACCCTGTGAGCACGTTCTGCGTGCACTCCCGTTCATCACAGCTAAACACCCTACGCGACAGGCACCAACACAAAAACACGATCCAGGCACTCGCGTGGTCTCCGAACGGCAACCTCGTCGCGAGCGCGTCGCGCGACCAGACCGTGCGCGTGTTCGACATCCGCGCGATGAAAGAGTTCAAAGTGCTCAAGGGGCACAAAAAGGAAGTCTGCTGTACGTCCCTTCCTCCGCCGCTCCTGCCTTCCCTCGCACCTCACCTCCCCCTCCCCTCCCCTGCCCCGCAGCGGTAACCTGGCACCCGATCCACCCGATCCTGGTCACCGGCGGCTCGGAGGGCGCGATCCTGCACTGGGACCTCACGACACCCACGCCGACGATCCCGGCGGCCTCGCCCCAGGCGCGCGCGGCGCTCCCGCAGGCGCACGACAGCAACGTGTGGGCGCTCGCGTTCCACCCGCTGGGCCACCTGCTCGTGAGCGCGTCGAACGACCACACGACGCGCTTCTGGGCGCGCGAGCGGCCGGGCGAGCAGCGCGCGGCGGAGCCGCTGGACGACGAGGAGGAGGCGGGGGAGGAGGCGGCGGTGCCAGGGTTCGGGTTTGGGTTTGGGGGCTGGGGCAAGGAGGAGGAGGGGCCGCCGCCTGGGTTTGCGGGGAGGCCGGGGGGTGCGGAGCAGAGTGATGATTATGTTCCGGGCTTTGGGTTTGTGGGGGAGGCAGGAGGCGGCGGGGTGCAGGGAAGGCAGGGCGGGCCGTTGCCGTCGCAGGAGGATGTGTTCGGGACGACCGGAGGGGAGGAGTGGGATGGGGGTGGTCGTGGGGGTGGCGGGAGAGGGGGAGGGGGGAGGCAGGGAAGTCGGTGGGGGCCGAGGAGAGGTGGAAGGTATTGACGGAGTGGACATTACTTTGGTGTCGGACGTATGAATTATTACATCGAGAAGCTCTTCGTCGGGTCCACGAAGCACACTACACAACATTACATCGATACGGAAGCGGCGTGATTGTACTTGCTTCGCGTTTTGAAAGAGAAGGTGAGTGTCGATTGTCATGCCCGTCCCCGGAGCTTACTCTATCCAACTATGTCTCAGAGAGAGGGCGAGCTGACATACATGGGTTATTCCGTTGGTTCCATTTATTCTCCGTGCTGGCACTGTAGACTGCAATACTAGTCACGACTACCGCCTCTGCTCCTTGAACACTGAATTGTTACCAAGTATAGCGAGCGCTCAACAGTCACGACAACTTATTTTGAAGATGAAGTTCTTCTCATAACCATGGTCACGAGTTCCTCTGTCCGGAGGGCTTCGATTCCCAGGTAAGTGTAGTACCAGTGTTCCTTGGACCCCATTAACTCACGGATCGATGTGTAGATGTGACAATGATGTTGAGAAAACCGAATGAGTATGTCCCCGGCTGACGTCTGGTCCGGCGCTATGTCTGTTCCACGAGCTGACGTTCGTTTGACAGAACTCTGCGCAAAGCGCGCCGTCTTATAGTTACCCCAGTGCGGTGCCTTCATCGTCATATGCGCTGGGCCGCCCAACTGAGAGAAACTGTGTTTTCCGCCCGTGGGATACATATTTTGGAGCCAGCGATAGTCCTGAGATCCACGGTTTGATTATACATCGGTGGCCGGCGGTCTTAGTGTCAACGCACATGCCAGCGTTCTGACCTGACTCAGATCTTCCATGAAACGAGGCCGATGCAGTGTCGTCCGGGAAGCCACTGAGGTGGAAGCTTGGCTTGTTCTTCCAGTTGCGTGCTGCACATGGGTGGGCAACCGCATGATAATCGCGCTTTCGGCGGGGGAGAGGCGGATGCGAGGTAGGTAGGTCTGACTTTGGCGCCATCTTCCAGGAATCCACTGCTGCATTTTGGGGTACTAAGCGATTTTCGGAGGCCCTTTAGACTCAAGTCCAGACTTTTCTGCGCTTGTTCATCTTCCTGTCCCTGAATAAGTGAGTACGCGGAGCTTACAGCCCAACGCCCGGGATGGGCGTTTTGCGAATTGATCGATCAGCATGAGATCTAGGATTTCGTATACCACCTGTAAGTCTCAGTTACACCGTCTTGCCTTTCCAGCAGATTCTGAGAGGGCCGTAGTTGTGACAGAAAGCCGTATCGGGTCGCTGGACGCTCTGAATGTCAGACCTGGCAACGTACCGCCGGGAATCGACCCATGCGATTGTGTTGGATGTGTGGTGTGTGCAGAAACTACTGATCCTGGGGGAAACTGGGCGTCTGATCGCTCTTGCTCTGCCCGAGCGAGGGGCGGTTTTCAACTGTTCCAGGGTGTTGGCTTGGGATGCCGCTCTGGAACGACGGGTCCAGGAAGGGGAAACATAGCTTTGGATGAGTGCATCTCAGGCTGGTCGCAAAAAGCCATGCGTCTGCTGAATCCTGATCACGGGCTCCTCCCTTTGCTTTCTCCACAGGACAGCCGAGTTATCAGTCATCACTCACTCACTCACTCACACATACACACGAATCCTCTTCGATGGCTTGGGCGCCTCTGACGAGCGCCCATTCGATCGACGGAGAGGGATGTCGTTCGGGAGCACGATCGTGCTGCCAGGCGCGGTCAATGGTCATGAGGACTACGGCCAGCTTCGTACACCCTGACTCAGAGGCCCAGGTGAGCGCGATGTGCGATAGCAAACATAGTCTGCCGTTTCGGAGTGGCGCTTCTGTGCCGAAGCGACGAGGTCGCCTGGAGCAAGGACGGTATAAAAGGCGAGCTGTACGCGGAGGAAGAGCCAGCGCGCAGCCTTCCTGTGCGCACCCACTTGTCGAACAGTCTTGCGAGCACCCCCGTCTGAGGTAGGTGCACGACTTTCGTCGTGGCTTCGTGCGCCGGTGTTCTGACGCGGCTGCCAGCATCATGTCTGAATCGAAGGTACAGTCAGGCGGCGATGCTGACTTGGAGTCGGACGCTGCGCTGACGAGCTTGGAACAGGAGGATGCGGACATTATAGGTCCACCGAAGACGGTGAAGTTGGACGGCGCTGGATCGTCCGACGACGGCAAGTCCTTCACCGCCAAACTTGGGCGCCACACCTTCAAAGGCAGCGCTCTCGCGCAGTTCCTCCCAGCACCCACCGAAGCGAAGGCGCAACTCACGTGTTCGACCGAAAACCAGCTTCAGGGTGTGAAGCGCTTTAAAGTCGTTTCGGAGGCGCCTGGCGTTGGCAAAGTCATCTTCGATGACAAGCGGCAGCTACTGGTAAAGCCCGTGACTATTACGATTATTCTTGGCATGGGGGCCGGCGTCGTGGGCGGCAACACTGAGGGAGAGGGCGCTTGGTACCCTAGCCCTGGAGTCACGGTGCGCAGTGCTTTTGCTTGGTCCTATTTCCGACGACGTACGTCCTTATGCCCTACGCAGATCCCGCAGTGAGATTCAGCATGCCGTTGCAAGGGGGTGTATTTGGGACGACTAGGAGAGGGGTGGGGGAGCCGCTGGGGACCAAGGAAGAGTAGGTATCAACGGGATGGGTGTAGTAGTTCTGGTCTATGTAGTATGTTGTCCTGGTTGTCGCTCACGTTGTTCTCTGTTGGACTCTGCACGGGGAGCCGGGCCGGTTCTCCGCTGCGAGCTCTGGGCTTGTATTCTTGTATGTGCTCTTGCGTTCACACGATGTCGCCACCTCGCGCATGTATTCAGGATTCCTGGATGCCAGGACTCGGAGCACCGCTCACGCCCGACCGCTATGGCCCACCCGACTAACGTGCTGGACCACATCGTGCACCTCACCCCGTCGGGGAGTGTCGCGCAGGCTGCGGAGCAGTGGCAGAAGCTCGGATTCACGTACGCGTCGATCGTACTATATGACTGGGTGCGCTGACGCTTCCGCTGTAGGGTCGTACCGGGCGGGACGCACGCGGACGGGTTGACCGCCAACGCGCTCGTAGTAACTACACTCGTGCCTACATCTGCTACCTTCGGCCTCTCTAACCCAGCGTGCTGCAGGTCCTGCGAGACGGCGCGTACGTCGAGCTGGTCTCCTTCGCCCGCGCGCCGTGCTCGCACCCCTGGGGGAGCAAGCGCCCCGGGTGGATCGACTACGCGTTCCTCGGGTCGTCTGCTCGGTCGGTCGCGCAGATCGTGAATGCGCGCGCGCGGGAGGAGGGGAGCGGGGTGGTGTATGAGGGGGAGGTGCGCGGGGGGAGGGAGCGCCCGGATGGAAGGGCGGTGGAGTGGGTTATTACTGCGCCGAGGGGTGCGGGGAGGAGGGGCGTGTGGCCGTTTTTCTGTGGGGATGTCACGCCGAGGGGGTGGAGGGTGCGTATACGGGTTTGTTTGTGGGAGGGTGGGGGCGGGGGCTTATGATTGGGTGTGTAGGTCCCGCTGGAGCCGGAGGGGAATGCCGTGCACGAGAATGGGGCGGTGGGCGTTGCGCACGTGCGCGTCCTCGCGGAAGAGGCGGGGATACCCGCGCTGACGAGGGAGTACACGACTGTCGTCGGGTCGCCGCCCGTGTCCTCCCAGCCAGGCGCGGACGTTTCGTGGACGCTCGCAAGCACCGCCGCCGCTCACTCGATCCCGGACCCGGTGCTCGTCGTGAGTGCGCCCAGGGACGCGCAGGAGGAGGGGTACCTGAGGGAGCGCGGGGCGGGGCTGTACGAGGTGGCGTTTTGGGTTGTGGAGGGCGAGGGCGGGAAGGGGGACGGGGAGAGCGAGGAGACGCCGTATGGGCGGGTGGTGTGGAGGGTGGTGAAGGAGGCGTGATCCGCTGTGATTGACATTATCGTATGCATGTATTTAGGTACAGCGCTGATGGTGATATCTCGCTCTATCCATTAAGCAATCGGTCCCGAGCACATTAATGGAAGCAGATCTGCGTATGATCTACGCACGATCATCCTCGCCGACGCCAAGCGAACACGTCCCTTATTAATTTATCCTTCTGGAACGCTACACCTGCCTCGTTCCACGCCAGAGTCCACGGGAGCCCATCGTGGAATCACGGCATTGCAGTCCAAGCCATCTGATAATAACATGCCATGGGATATAAGCCGGTGCCCACCCGCTCCCCCTGCTGGCTCTGTGCTTCTGAACGATGGGCAACCTCCTCAGCGCGAGTACGAGCCCGTACGAGACGGATCCGGGGACGCTGGACGGGGCGACGTTCGATTATATCGTGATCGGCGGAGGTGGAGGCTGTGCAGATGATCTATGTCGAATCTGGGTGCTGATTGGATTGCTACTGCAGGCACGGCGGGGTGCGTGGTCGCGAGCAGGCTGTCGGAGGACCCGCGCGTGCGCGTCTTGCTCGTCGAGGCGGGCGGAAGGTGAGTCCGTCGAGCGAGCGAGCGAGCGCGAGAGGCGCAGCTAAGCGGCGGCGCAGACACGACACCGAGCTGTTCACGAAGATCCCGATAGCGTTTGCGAAGCTGTTCAAGTAAGTTCCCTTCGGCCCACCTGATTCCGACTTTATCGTTGTATGCACGCAGGACCAAAGCGGACTGGGCGTACCACACCGTGTACGCCGCCCGTTCCCCGTTACGATTATTTCTCCCGCTGACCTGAAGCACAAGCCCCCAGCCGCACCTGCGCTCGCGCGCGCTCTTCTGGCCGCGCGCGAAGATCCTCGGCGGGTGCTCCTCCATGAACGCCATGATGTACCAGCACTGCTCCCCCTCCGACTTTGACCGCTGGCCGCGCGGGTGGCGCTACCAAGACTTCTCCCCGTGCGTCCTCCGTAACCTCAGACTCCGTGTGCGTCATCATGACGGCGCTTGCATGCGGGCAGGTACTTCCGCAAGGCGGAGCGGTTCACGCCGCACGTCCTCTACCCCGAGGTGAGGCTCGACGAGCGCGGGGATAAGGGATTATGGCAGACGTCGTATAGCTACCTCGCGCCCGTGTGCGGGGCGTTCATCGAGGCCGCGAAGCAGGTCGGGTTGGCGTACAATCCGTGCGTCGGTCTCCCTTTTGATAGTGAAAGGAGGAGAGAGAAGTGATGGGCAGGGATATCAACACGCCGCGGGGGAGCCTCGGGGTGACAAAGTTCGTCACGTCGATTGACGCGCAGGGAAGGCGCAGCTCGAGCGCGACCGCGTATTTGTCCGATGAGGTGCTCGCGCGGGAGAACCTCACCGTTCTCATCAACACGACCGTAAGCCGCTCTTCCATCCGCCATGCCCTGAACTTGACTCGCGCGCGCACAGACGACCCGCGTACTCTTTTCGTCAGACGCAGAGTCGGGCGAGGAACCGAGGGCGGTGGGCGTCGAGGTAGCCAGGGACGCTGGCTCCCCGCGGTTCCGGATGGTGGCCCGCAGAGAGGTGATTCTCTCCGCGGGCACGACCAACACCCCGCACCTGCTCAACCTCTCCGGCATCGGCGCGCGCGACGAGCTCGCGCCGCTCGGGATCGAGGTCGTCAAGCACCTCCCCGCGGTCGGGAAGAACCTGACGGATGTAAGGGCAGCTGTCTTCAGAATGGGGGCGTAGATACCTGACGTTGGGCGCAGCATCTTGTCACGGGCGCGATTACGTTCCGCGCAAGGAAGGGCGTGAGCTTGGATTATCTCTCGCACCCCGTGAAGTCGCTCCCCGCGCTCGCGCGGTGGTTCCTCACCGGTACGGGGCCGGCTACGTCGAACGTGCGTCCTCGTCGTCCCCTTCCGCGTGACGGTTGCGTTGACGAAACGTAGGTCGGCGAGGTCGCCGCGTTCTTCCGCGCGGACGACCGCGCGCTGCACGCATCGGACGAGGAGCTCATCGACAACACCTCCGGCCCCCGCGCGCCCGACGTCGAGCTGATGTCCGGCCCGCTCGCGTTCCTGCAGCACGGGTTCCGCAGCGCGCCGCCCGGGGCGGAGTGCTACACCATCGTGAGTGCCCCGCGTCCTTGCCCCCCTCCCCCGCTGGCGCTAGGTTGAGTTCCGCACGCGGGCGCACAGCTCCCCGCGCTCCTCAGGCCGCTGTCGAGCGGGCGGGTGCGCCTGGCGGGCGCGGCGCCGTTCGCCGCGCCCGCGATCGACCCGGGCTACCTGGCGCACCCGAACGATATCAAGGTCCTCGCGCGCGGCGTGCGGCTCGCGCTGCGCATCGCGCGCGCGCCGGCTTTGCAGGCGTTCCTCGACCTCCGGCCCGCCGCTGCGCACGCCGGCCTCGACAGAACCGACCTGTTTTACCCGGGGGACGCGGACCCGGAGAGGATTAGCGATGCGGAGATCGAGGAGTGGATCAGGGGGAACGCGGAGACGCTGTATCATTGCGTGGGGACGGCGCGCATGGGCGAGGGGGAGGAGGGGAGCGTGGTGGATGCGGCGCTGCGGGTGCATGGTGTGCAGGGCTTGAGGGTGGTGGATGCATCGGTGTTTCCCGAGCCGACGTCGGGGCATCCGGTATGTCGTGCTTTTTTTAGAATTTAGTTATCGGAATCTCTATGGTGGCTGACGTTTGTAGGCTGCGACGGTTGTGGCGGTGGCGGAAAAGGCGGCGGAGATGATTAGGGACGAGTGGAGATTCAGATGTTCAGAAGACTCGTAACGACGGTGAGGGCTGTTGTAGGGTAGTGAAGGGAGCTGTGGTGGTATATTTGCCAGGCGATCCATCTTTTATTCGAGTACTTTTCACGATTTCTTCATTGCGGAAGACGCGGCGAATGCCACAAATTCTGACATATGCCAAATTCGGACTGGTTGTTCCTTATGAGGTATGTAGGTGATTGCGCGACATGTGATTCGCTCGCGTCGCAGCCAACTGTCGCGCCTTGCTCTGTACTTGCGCTCGATATATATCCTCTGCTTGTGTCGGGTTCTTTTGCTCTCGCCGCGCGGACGCACGAAATTACTAACCTATAATGTCCCTTTGAGCAACTTTGCTCGACACACGATGGTTCATTGGAAATCCTGTCTACCGACATCCCTTCTGCTCCTCGCCCTCGCCTTCCCTGCCCCTTCTCACTCAATATGGCCCTTCCCACCGAAACGATACACCGGAAATGCACTGCTGGAGGCTGGGAAGATGGGCGTGGATGTCGACGGGAGGGTGATTGCGTTCGGGGACTTTAATGGGGATCAGTTGTACGTACCGCTATATACTGTGGTATATACACCCTCGAGGACGGACGGTGATTGACATTGCGGGATTTTTGCGAAGCCTCGATATACTCGCCCTCGGTTCGGACCAGCGGACGCTGTCCGTGTACCTCTGGAACCACGGTAAGCGAGATGGTATGAAGATCACACGCATGACCTCAGGATTCGTTGGACCAACAGAGGACTACGTCTTTCGCCGCTCGGCGACCTTCACGCATCCTCAGAGAGTGCAGAACGTCGTGCCGGGAGATTACACGCAGAATGGGCGGCTCGACCTGCTGGTCATGAGCCACGGCCAGGGCAGCCGGCTGGACATGTCTGTGTACATGTCGTCTATAGAAGGGGGATTTGGTAAGCCTTCAGTCTACTTTGTGTCGATGATGTGATTCTACTCCGAAGCGGGTTTCTGGGCAGACACCGCCAGCCCGATAGCCCTCCCCCCGTCCACCCTCCAGCAGCCCGTCCCGATCGATGCAAACGGGGACATGAAGATCGACCTGTTCGGCGTCGCGTCGGGGGGCAACGGCGCTTTCAAGGTGTGGCGGAACGTGTGGAACGCGTCGGATCCGCGGAGCAGCATGTTTGACGTGTACGTGCCCCTCTGTCTGAGGAGTCCTGTGTGCGCTGTGTCTGAACGCGACTCGCATCAGTGTAGATCCGCAGTTCGACGGCACACAGTGCCGGCTGGCCAACCCGCATAGCAATGCGGTCGTGGATCTGAACGGAGACTGCCTAGCAGGTCAGTGCCATCTGCATCCGGGGTATATTGACAGAAGCAGTGTAACCGAATTACAGATCTTTTTTTGGTTTGCGACGACGCCAAGTCGGGCGATAAGTACTACCAGATATGGGTGAATAACAAAGACGCTGGCTTTGCGTTGGAACGACTTGGCCGTCTGCCCTCAGGGGTGCAAGCCATCTCCTTCGCTGACATTGGTACGTAACCCAGCTCACGCCTGGCACCCTTCGGCCATTTCAGAGGTACTCACTTTGGAGAACTACAGACCGCGACGGGACTATAGACATGATCTTCCCCACCTGCTCCTACGTCTCGAGCATCACGGGTGTAGGGACGGACTGCTACATCAACATTGCATATAACAAGCAGCTCCCCCTATGTGCTTCTACTACAGACTCTGGTATCAAAAACGGACGTAGGGTGTGTCGGCCCCCGGAAGAGCTGTGCACGCCCGACGTAGATTTTATGTATGACCTTGACGAGAGGAGCGGTAACGACGTCAGTCTTGCATTCGCTTCCCCGGGGAACACGGATTAAAGTCCGATCCTACAGGCCTTTGTCCGTTTCCCCGTCTCCGCCCTCTTTCCCTCCGCGTCACTCCTCGTCCTAGACAAGACCTCCACACCCGCCCTCCCCCTCCCCCTCAGACTCGCCGACACAGATCAAGACGGCTTCCCGGATGTCCTCGCCGTCGTCGTCCCCCCGCCCGCCGGGCCGGCTGCTGCGCCGGACCGCACACCGAAGTTGGTGCTGAGCATGCCGTGTGCGAAGGGCGTGGCTGGGTGCGACAAGGACGGGAAGGGACGGCGCGGGTTCAAGGTCGTGAGGAAGGGCGCGGAGACGCTGGATAGTGTCAAGGACGCGAGGGGCGTCGCTGTTTTGGATGTTGATGAGGATGTGAGTACCCGAAGTTGCGTGCTGGGGGAAATGCAGATGTGGGACTGACGCGCTTCGGTTCGTAGGGCACGCTGGATATTATGGTCCAGAGGACTGGCGAACAGGGGCAGGGGAATGTTTTCTTCGTGCAGAATAACTTTTACTACGACGCATTCTTTCTGAAGGCGATCGGTGCGTCGCTATCTAGACGACAGACCCCGGGCAGCGGCTCATTTGCCGAGTTTTAGTCTTGAACGGCGCTTGCAACAGCGGCTGGTGCACGACCCCGAATGGCACCGCACGCTACCATGTGCGTCTCTCGTACGACGGGTCAAGCCTTCACTGACATTGGTTCCAGCCGTTTGGTGTAAGCTATTCCGGCGCTACTTACAAGTATACCGTACTCGACACGTCCGGACGTCGGTCTGCCGCACAAGGTCGGTCTCTTCATCTTTCTCTCGATCTGACCTTGATTTGAAGAGCTTGCGCAGTTGGCCAGCTCCCGCAAACGTCTTATCAAGCTCTAATGACGCCGTACTCGTACTTCGGTCTCGGGCGCACGAATAATTATATCGAGAACCTTTTCGTCGGTTCGACCAAGCACACCGCGCAACATTACATTAACATGGAAGGCGTCATCCCGAATTCCAAGGTGGTGATCATCCCGCCACCGGAAGGGCAAGATGTATGGAAGAGGGAGTTATACTTGAGACCCGGCGAATGGATACCTTGGGTTACTGTGACGGTTGTTGTGGCCACTATCATCCTCGGCGTGATCGTACTTGCTTTGCATTTGAACGAGAAAGTGAGTATCGATCACTACGCCCGTCCGCCGGAGCTTACTCTCTCCTACTATCTCAGAGGGAGGACGAGCTGGAGCGGAGGAGAGCGTCGCATCATATCAATTTCGACGCCCTATGAAATCGGCATATATAGGTTATTCCGCTGGTCCCCGCGACCTGTAGTCCTTGCTGACATAGGTACAGGACGCAGTAATGCTGCAGGAGCTCTATGTCGATATCATATATTGAAGTTATGGTTCGAGGCCAGACAGGGAACTCCATTGGTATGGAAGAGTCATCCATGTTTGTTCAAGGGGTGCGCCGTATCTGATTAAGCTTCCATTCCACGGTCTTCGAACTTGTTCTTGAGTGCCACTTGTACGAGCAGTCCCAGTAATATGCACCAATCATGCATTGACACAAACGTGCTCTCGTATTGTGTTTCTTTGATCAGTCTCAGCGGGTGGTGCAGCTCCGACATCCGGTCACCACTCGAGTTATGACCACTGCCTCTGCTCTTTGAACACTGACACCTGATCGCAGCAAGATAGAGGCACCTCAACTTCTTGTTCTTGGGGCACCTGCCAATGAAGATCACCTAATGCGGCAGGAGGGTACCCCGCAGCCGCCCCTCCACTTTCGAGGCGTCTGTTGGTGGGAAACTCGGCGCTAACGATCTCGAACGAGTAATTGTCATGTTTTCAAGCAGTCGTCTATCCGTACATGTTTACTTTATGAGTGTTTGGTATTGGAACAGCCTGTAAAGCGGGATTTTGAGGTGCGTCTATCGTTCTGCAACGAGCTGGAATTATTACCGAAGTACGCTGAGCGCTGAGCAGTCACACCAAGTCAAAGATAAAGTTCATCTCATAACGATTGCCATTGCCTAGTCGGGCCGGATCAGGGGGGAGGGCTTCAGCACTCCATTGTCTTCCGGGCCGACGTGTACATGATTCAAGGAGCTTGGGAATACCAGGATGTGACTTAAGGGTGTCCCCAGCCGATGCCGGGTCCAGGTCCGGCGCTCCGTCTCTTCCACCAGCAGAACTATTCAACTAAGTATCGCTGACGTTTAATTAATAGAACTCGGCTCCGTCATATGCGCTGGCGCCGCTTAACTCAGAGACACTGTGTTTTCGCCCGTGAGATACACATTTCAAAGCCAGCGATAGTGGTGAGACCCAAGTGATTATCCAGTGGTAGCCCACAAAAGCATGTCCTCAGGGTGTGACTCTCCAGCACGGCGATCTTGGTGTTCCAGCCTCCTGGAGAAAGAGCCCAATTCAGTGTCGTTCGGAAGGCCACACAGGCGCTGTTCGCTCGGTTGGCTCACTAGTTGCTGTGCAACAGGGCGGTTCCTGCGGACGACGAATAGCACGTTCAGCGGGATAAATCTGAATGCAGGGTAGGAATGACTTTAGCGCCATCTTCCAAGGATCCACTGCTGCATTTTAGGGTACTAGGCGGTCTTTCAGAGGCCACATGCTCATGTCTGGAAAATGATCCTTCCAGACTTGTGCTGGTTTATCTTTCTATCCCTGTATAACTGAGCATGCGGAGGTTACAAACATCCGTCATGGGCGTCTGCTAGTTGATTGATCGGCATGACAATTGGGTTTCCATGTGCACCCCAGTACGCATGTGAGTCTCGATTACACCGTCTTGCTTTCGAGCGGATTTCGCGAGGGCCATACTTAATGATTTCGCGTGGCAGATAATCCGGATCCGTCGCAGGACACTCTGGATGTCCCCCGCTACCAACCGACTGAGACAATGATATTCATATTATAAGGTATGGTGTCTACCAATGGTTTTGTCATCAACCTGCGGGGAACCTGGCGTCTGACTACTCTCGCTCTTCCCGAGCCATCGGCGGTTCTCATCCATACCACCGCTTTGGTTTGTCATGTTGTACCGCCCGAACTCTAGAACGACTGTACAAGGTGCTTCCTTCTGTCAGAACCTATCTCACTCATCCGTCTGCTGACTATCACGGTACCCCTTCAATGCCTCCATGAGACAAACCGAGTTGCCGCCAATGGCACGAATACCTTATGAAGCTTCTGACAGGTCTTCTAACGATCAACGGAGATGCCAGTCGGTAGCATGCTCTCGCCATGAATGTGTCTGGCGTGGTCTGAGGATCAGAGGTCAACTCAATAGACCCTGACTCAAAGTCCTGGCTCCGCACTCAGTGCGATAGCAAACATAGACAGCTGTTTCATATTGTCACGTTTGGGCCAAAGTTACGATTCACCTATGTGAGCCAATTTTCTTACCCTCAAGTCAGGCTGGTATAAAAAGGACGGCTGGGCCAGAGAGCGAACGCTCGGAGCACAGTGTTCCTGCAATCGATCCCCCATAAAACCAGTCTGCCAGCAACCGCATTCGAGGTATGCTCACAGCTTTTATCATCGATTCATGTATCAATTTACTGAAGTGGTGTGCCAGCGCGATGTCCAACTTGGAAGCTCACCGTGTCAAATTCGCAGCTGCCCTGAAGAGCCTGGAGAGTGAGGGTGTGAACATCTGTCGCCACGAGAAGACAGAGTGGGGCAAAGCATCGTCCGCAGATGGCCAATCCTTCACGATCGTCTTCCCCGACATCAATAAGAAATTCGAGGGCAGCGCAGATGTCAAGATCACATCTCCTACTTTCAAACCTGTGACCGCGCAAGTCAGCTACACCAAGGAGAGCGAGCTTACGGGCTACAGGAGGTTCAAAGTTCATGGTGTCAACACGTGCATCGTAATCGTTCTCGACAACGGGGTCGTCATTGTGATTGATGACAATTCGAGCATTGAGACCAACACTCAGGGAAGCGGCAATTGGTCCACTGCTGAGTAATGATTAAAGGTACGCAGTTTTAGTCCAGTCTTCAGTTCTGCTAAGGTCTGATGCGCATGCCGCACAAAGATCTGACTCTTGTTGTATTGTCATAAGATCATGGGCCGCGGATATAACATGTGGTAGCAAATAAGGGAAGCATACATGGAATGCAGACGTAGTTCTTAGCCTCGCGAAAGAAATGGAGCCTGATGTATATGAATGTAACTTCTTGGTATATCGTGCCTGCGACGAGGGACAGATGGCGAAGACGTGAGTAGAAAGGTCGGAATCGCGTAGAGAACCTCAACAGCAAGCTTGAGGTAGGTTCTCGGGCGCGTGATTTCCTCCTGGGCAATAGTTGCTGGTTTTAAAGTGCGCGACCCCCGCCTCTCATGTACATGCCTTGTCGCTGTGCCTCGAGAGCTGCGCGGACTCGAGCCTAAGCCGTTCCGACTAGACATGACTGCGCTATAGGCAAGATTGAACATATCTTACTGCCATCTGTGTCTCAGCCATCTGTGTCTCAGGCCTCGCAAATGAGAGCTCCCTCCATGGTGGCGGCCCACTGTTATTTCCTAGGAGTTCCGCGCGGGGCAAGGGAACTTCGGTTACGGCATTGCCTCTGCATTCGGATTAGGATCATGATACGGCTGGCGTCGAACTATGACATAGATCACAGATGACACGACTGGGATCTCGTCTTACGTGCAACTCCCCCCATGCCGTGTAAGCTCGAATACGGGATGTCATTGTTCAGAAGATCCGATCATATTACTGGCACTGGAGCTACACATCGTCATATACCCGCTGCAGGAGAACCTGAAACATCCTGGATCGTATCAGAAGCCTTCTCAGCGATGCAATGACTGTGGCTGTCTGCAGGGAGGGAAGGTCACGAATAGTGCCCTGTGAATACTCACCTGGAGGAATGGTTCTATAGTAAACACGTACCGGATGTCCGGAAAGTGGCTCAGGGAACAGGGATGCATCGACTACTCTCAATCCATCAATGCCATGCACTTTTAGCTCGGGGTGAACCATGCTTCCCTCTTCGTCCACATAGTCGCCTATCCGAGCGGTGCCCATTGGATAGTATAGGATCTCGACATGGCCTCGCGTCCACGCTTGGATATCCTCGTCTCTAATCATGCTGCCAGTGTTGAGCTCGAACTGTTAGAAAGCTCCTGGACAGTATACGTGGCAAAGGCGGTGGAGCATCCCCGAAACCTGCAGGTAAATCGTCTTCAGGTTATCTTGTACTGACCTGAGCCGCGCTGCAGACTGCAGCTGTCGCGCAGTCGACGGTACCGTGTATGGAAAGGCTGAAGCCCGACTCTGTCTGAGCATGAGGATAACAACGATCCCGAAGTTGCAGCAACTTCGTTCTCAGCTGCGGGTCGCAAGTGGGTCGCAACGTGCAACTCTGTAGGTTCAGACTTTTGAGCTCAGGCTGCAAACAGTGGGATTCAATCACTGATTCGAGGAACAATCTAGGAGGAGACCCTGGATCAACCTAATCATCGCGACAGGATCACGCACAAATGCTCAAGAGTCCACGGTGCGGACAAGGTGCCACATTCACATCGTCGCCGTCTGGCGTCTGCTCAGGCTGCCCAAACTCAGCCCTGTCTGATCCCCCTTGGTCTGCCCGTACTTAACTAAAAAGCACTCTGGCCAGTTCGTTCTTCCACAGGGTGTGCCGATGATTGCCGGCGGCGAAGGCACGGGCCGATGAACTGAGGAAACAAGCTGTGGCGCGATCTATCAATCGGCAACTGTGGAATTACAGCCGTTTGCAGTTCGATGGGCCCATTTCTTGAAAATCATTTACAGTCAGACCATGTCGGAGAGGGTAATTTAAGTCCCCGAGGCCCCAATATCAGACCATTTGGACTTCTTTTAATTCCTGGGACGTCCCTGGCACCATGTCCGACACACTCTGATCGGACTATATGTGACTTTCTGAAGTGATGGCCTACAGCCATTTGCAGATCGATAGGCCACCACTTTAAGAAGTCGCATATCGTCGGAGTGCGTCGGAGATGGTGCCAGGGACGTCGGAGGAGTGAAAAGAAGTCTCGATGGTCAGACTTTGACACCTCGGGGACTTGATTTCCCCTCTCCGACATGGTCCGACTGTAAATAATTATTCAATAAGTGGGCCCATCGAACTGCAAATGGCTGTAATGATCTGCAAACAGTTGGTCTTACTTCGCCTCCCGATCGACATAGCCACAACCTGCCATAACGGGAAATGGCGTCATGTGACCCCGGAGTCGCCGTGACAGCGCCGCAGACGGAATGTCACGCTGAGTCTCACTGCCATACATTCCGCGCGTACATTAAGGGTATCTGCAACCATGTATGTAGTGCAACGATGCAGCCCCTCCGCTGTCTTTGGGTTTAGCATCTGCTGCGCGGCGTCAGGCCGAGCAACTCGCACAGGCGCTGGAGCAGAACTCCCCTCAGGTCGTTCAAGGCCCGATGGAGCTCGAATTCTTCGCGTACGTGCCAGACGTACAGCCCCGGCAGAGCAGGTATGACGGCCCGTTCGGGCTCGCAAACGGCACCCTGCACACACCCAAATTAATAGTAAGGTCAGAGTGTCGATTTAGTCCCCGTGAAGGGTCCTGATAGGTCATCGTTGTATATAGTCAGACGCACGACCCCGTCACGGCGTATAAGAACGCGCTCAGCAGTCTTAAACGGCTTGGCGACAACGCGCGGCTCGTCCAGCAGGCAGATGGTTACGGGCACACCTCCCTCTCTCAGGTGTCGTTCTGCGTCTGGGAGCAAGTTTAGGCATATCTGCTGGGCGCGGTACCGGAGAGCAGCCACACGGTTTGCCAGGTCGACCAGCAGCCGTCCATGCCGTTTGTGGTGAATACTACGGGGTCGGCGGAGCTGGATAGTCTGAGGGAAGCTGTGGCGGCTGTATGTTTGGCAGCACAGAGCTCGTTATGATGGACTATAACGGGCAAGAAGACTGACGATTCAAGCTTCGCAGCGTTCTCATGCCCATACCATGTGCTCAATGCCAATGTCAGTATCTTACTGCCATGTCTGCGGTACAACGCACCGCGCGGGTTGCGATGAGCCATTGGAAGAAATGGCCGGAAGCATCCCCTGAGAGTCCTTATTTGCTCAGCTGTAGACCTGTGCCGTATCCAACGTGAAAGCCTCGCTAGGAACGGTGGGCCGACGGTAAAGGAACCGGTGAGCCTCTATAGACTATCATCAAGTGGAACGACTTTGTCAGAGACGACCCTGCCATTATTCACTGTACCAGGATCGGGCACGCATGCCCGGTCTATAATGACGTTTCAAGCATGATCTAACAGTTGGCTGTCCTGCCGTGCAACTGCGGTATCCTCTGAGGACCTCCACGGCCTTCGAAGGCTGTGAACGAGATCTCCCTCAGGGGATATGCATTCTCGTAGCCCATGTGGGGCTGTGCGATCTACTGCGAGCTATGCACAGGCCTATGTGTGGAACACACTGTCATAAAGCGATGCCTAAGGGAGAGAGCAATAATTTATCGACGTCGTACTATGCACGCCCTGGTGAATTACCTCAGTACATCTTTCCTTTCGCTTATCCTACTCCAGCTGGTTCCTTATAGGAGTGCCTCACATCACAATCTGAACACCCGAGCCGGTAACAGCACTAGCGGCATCCAGTGGGGCTCATGCGGGGAAGGCTACGATAGCTTCCAGTGCGCCAACATCTCGGTGCCTCTTGACCACAACAACGTTACAGATACACGGACGATCAACATATTCATAGCCCGGCTTCCGGCGTCGAATACCACGCATTGGCGAGTATTATTAGCGCTTTAGCCACAGAGTGTCCTAATTTTGGTCCTTAGTGTCGGTAGCCTCTTCGTAAATCCTGGGGGACCAGGTGAATGTTTTTGCAGAGATGATGAGATCCCTTCGCTAACATGCTCTGTTGTCCTAGGTGGATCTGGCTCCCAGATTGCCCTTTTATTCGGTCAAAATGTGTCGACCGTTCTGAAAGGTACTTGTTCTCTATTGGTCTCTTGAGCACAAGATCGAGCATCCTCCATTAGGCCAATATGATATCATCGGGTTTGACCCTCGCGGGGTGAAGTTTTCCGAACGTTACATCTCGTGTTTCGACAGCTTGTTAGATGAGGAGATATGGCTCCGCACGGTCCGCCGCCCAAGCCTGAACTTACCGTCCAATGTGACGGCGGACGTCATCGATGATCTTACCAAGGAATTAACTTCGCTTGCAGCTAATGTGTCTCCAGTTTCCGCTCAATGCTATGAGAGAGTCGGAGATTTCATTCCTTTCGTCGGTCAGTGAGCTCGCACTGCACAGAATTGAAACGTGGAGTCTCCTGTTGTAGGTACCGAAGCCGTTGTCCGTGACATCGACTTAGACGATTGGCTCATCAATTGTATACTTCCTGCATTATGTTGATATCCTGTCGTTTTCAGTCTGGGGCTGGTCTTATGCTTCCGCGATCGGACAGTACATGATCCAGATCCTTCCCCCGGATCCTATCGGCCGCATCGTCCTCGATGGATCATCAACCCCAAGCAGCGGTCAAACGAAGCCACGCCGCTTTTGCGTACGTAGCAGTACAAAAACTCGCCGTCGAGGGACACTACTACCAATTCTGACTCACTCATGCCAGTTACTCCCGAAGTTGGCGCAATCCTCCTGTACTTCGCCGACACTTGTGTGGGAGCTGGCCCCGCCTGCGTGCTCTCCAACTTCTCTTCTACTGAAATTATCGCACACCTCAACGGCACGCTGGACCAGCTCTACGCGTCCCGCGTACATGGACGCGGGCGTCCTTCGCATCCTGCTCTGCAATGGTTTGCACGGCATGGCCGACTGGCCGACGCTCGCGGGTGCCCTGGCGCAGGCGTTCGCGGGGAACTACACGTCAATGCTGCAGTCTGTCTTGCCGCCGATCGACCCGGAGGACGGGGCGCTCCCTGACGACTCGTTCTTCGCAGAGATTATCATTACCGTGAGTGCATCTCGCAGCGCGTGCGATGCCAATACGGTTGTAAATGATTGATGTGAATTATACAGTCACTGCGTTTGCTGCAAGTTATGTGTACGGGGTAGATAGGTAGGATAGCCATTATATCATACCTGTCATGCATACCATCCGTGTTATCACCTGCGTCGGCCAGAGAGAGCTCTACGTCTTGTTATGTAACCGTGCGATATCCAAAATAGTCAAACTAATCTACCTATCCACCTCGCGGATACTTGCTCAAGCGTGCAACTTAGCTCAGTGTCGAATATCTGCTCAATACTGCTCTGAACAGGCTGTCTATCCTGTTTATCCTCTTGTGAAATAAGTATGTACATCAGTTATAGGTGCTCGCGGCCTTGGGGAGCTGCGATAGCTCTAAGTCCAACAAGATGTATCGCCCTAACCGATTCCGTTCGCCACGTCCGTTACCGAAGAGACCATTACGACTGCCGCCGCCGCCTCCTGACCCTGGTCCCGGTGATCTATGGCTACAGGTACTAGGAGTTGCTACCGATGGCAGCGGGGCTTGTTCACGTCGCGTTGAGAAGCCGCGCTGCGAGGTTTACTGCGAGCTGTTCATGTCGCGAATACCGGTACGTCTCTCTTTTGCTGCCTCTGTCATGGCGAACTCTGACGCGATGGCTAGGATCCCGAGCCCATCAAGTGCTTTGTTGATATGGACACTTACCACCTCCATCTCGCGGTTTCCATCCCGATCGACTCCGGCCTTCCTCATGCACTGCGAGCAAGTCCTGTCGTGATAGTCGAGAAGTGGATCGGCTGGAATGGTGCAGATTATGCGCCGAAATGGACGAGCTGGGAGCCCGGTCAAGCTACGACGTTCATGGACTCAAGATCCGACGTTGCGGAAATCTTCGTGATGCTTGCGGAGTTCGACGAGAACACGGAGGTCGTAAGTCCTTGTAGCATCATCTGCATTTTCCATTGATTAACTTGACTCAAAAGCCCGGCCGCCGAGATGAGATGCTAGCGTGGGCGAGAAGGATTTCGGTGCACCGATTCTGTCTGCTTTCACGCACTTCACTACTGACAATGGTGACTTTAGGTCGGAACTCGCGCAGCATACAGACTTGATCCACCTGATACCCCCGAGCGGAAGGTATTTGCAAGTCACTCCCCTTTGCTGCTGCGCCCCCATAAACCCTACAAGTTGTGTACACTAAAGCTCGAGGATGAAGAGCCGTTAGAGCCGTTGGGCCGCCTCATGACTTAGTTACTTGTCCGATTAGCTATTTATGATGTATCCCTTCTTATACATTGAATGTTGGTTCTGCAAGTTCGTATGGTCTTCATTTCCTTCAAATGAGATTGAATTTATATATATGACCATGGAATAGGCAGTTTATCTACCATGTCGGACTTTGAAATTTGATTCATCCATATTCAGGCAGTCGACAACGCACGTCCTCAACCAAGATGTTGTATTCCAGCCCGTCGAGCTCGTAGGTGTACGTCCTATGGTGAGTACTACTTCTAAGGTCTCCAGGTATGAATCTCATCCGTGCACGTCATCCGTCATACGGTTAACATTGCCAATACTCAGTACTGGGCAACAATAACACTCAATCCGGTATGTTCGGGTCGGTCGACGGCGAGCGTGTATGTCAAATATTAACCTCGCGAGCAGGAAAATGTTTGAATATGATTGTTGTAGCTTATGGCTCGACCTTTTTAATCGAGACACATTCTATAGTAAATCTATCACTTGTTCTGTTCTTCCCGCTCCGTGGGTACCGGCAAAGGTCCCAACTCCTTTTTGATCCAGGCGAGATACTCAGGATCAATCTCTGTATCAGAGATGACAAGGCTAGAAATCGGCAGCTCCACGTTCTCGCGTGCACCTGTGTATCGCTCACCGGTGGCCTCGTTCCACTTTTCTGCCCATTCGGTGCTAATGCACCACTCAAAGGGGGCACGGGCACCTGACGGAGGTGGACCACGATAAGCATTGATGTCGGCTCCCAGGACGCGAGGAACCCTTGTACGTCCATTCCGATTATACTTCTTTCCAGATGTTGCTTGCTTGGCTATCAGGTGCTGCTCTTGCACAACAGCGAGCTGTCGGAAGGAGCCCACGATGCGGTTATACTTGACCTCATTGATCAGTAAATCGACCGTTCAGACAATTAAGTGCACTCACCTGGTCAGATCGCCACTCGCGGCGTCGTATCTCCCAGGCATTCGCTCCCCCGCCCTTCTGGAGCCGATATTGTTTCGCTTCCTCGGGACTGAGGAACTCGCCTTGGTCGCTGCACTCGTCACTGGCACAGTCGCTAAGAAGCACGAGTTCAACACCCTCGGAGGCCGCATCACCGTGTTTCTCCTTGAACTGAGGTATGAGCCCACGGTAGATTGTCATTCTCTGCAGGAAGGTGCGCAGAAAATGAGGTGTCAGTGTGCCGTATTACTGACATATTCACATACAGAATGCCTGCGGCTTCGCAGCCTCATATTGTTGTTGCGCATGTTTCGCCTGGCGCGAGCCTCTTCGTTTTCTTGGGCCGTATATACCTTGCGCAGACTGTTGAAATAGTTACAGACGTGCCTGGTAATGTCCTTTTTGGTTGTGTTTGGAGGGAAGCTCGGAGTGTCCTAGTTTGGTAAGTGAATATGCTATGCAAAGATCGTGTCAGACGCTTACCTTTTCATGGTCCTCAATCCGTGACACTTCCTTGATGTACTCGTAGTTGCGACCAGACTTCGGGGACATCTCCCAAATTGGATTGTACAAGCGCGCACCTCCTGTGTCCAGCCTTGGAGGTGAACCAAGGGGCAAAGGGTCGGGCAAGACGAAGTTGCGCTCCCCATTAGGGACACCCAGCAGGAGCAAGCAATAATAATGGACAAGTTCCTGTGGCTAGACAGTGAGTGTACAGTTTTATGAAATACGAGAAGGTGGGCTAACGATCAGCTTTCGGTTCTGAGCCCTGGGCCCATTGGGCTTGCTAGGGCGTTCATTCTGGTCCTGCTCGACCCTCTGCCACACCGTAGTGATTCGGTGAAGATCACTGTGGCTTTTGATCCCGAAAGCATCCATGAAAGCTTGTGCGTCCAATGGTGTTGCTGCCTGGTTGTCTGGAGAAGCTGATGGCCTGGTCAAAGCTTGAGCAGGGGCATTCCCAACTGAAGATGGGGTCAGGACGATATTGGGAGACTGTTGGGGCCCGGTGGGGACCAGAGGTATCTGGGAATCGTGGTGAGGCACCATGGGTGCGAACTGTTGAAGCGCGGGCAAGTAGGGTGGGCCGGAGGCATGGTGCCCAGAACCGTTGCCAGGGAACATATTCTGGTAGCCCAGTGAGTGCTAATCTATGTCTCGAAGAGTTAGGACTTACACTGAAGTCATCCAGCATCGGCATGCTGTTTGGCCACTGGTAAGGTCCTGTATACTGCATTGGTTGTGGTGGGTAGAAGCTATGCGAAGCCGGAGGATTAGCGTTGGTCAGGAATGCACCGGGGTTGTCGCCTTGCGGGGCGGACATGATGGTGAGCGGGTTGAGGATGAGGGAGGCCCCTGACCGTTTTGAAGGCTCATGGCTGGGGTACCGGGTAAGTGATCCGATGTCTTGGACTTGACTGCCGTACCTGACAGTTGCCGACCACTGGCTATAGTTTTTGAGTGAGCTGCACATTTGGTGTTGCCGTAGTCATACCTTTCAAACCTAGCATGAGACACGGTAAGAGAAGGGTATTTCACAGCTTGCTCTTGTTTTGTGGGCTCGTATTACTAGTTACATCTCTTGTATTAACCTTTACCATTGTATCAAAGGTGATTTCTGGTACCCTACGGGATTGACGACTGTGGAGCATCGGGATCGAGTGTGCGGTCGGGCAGGCGGTACAGGTGGCGGGAACACCATTCTGGGTTAGGGGTTACCCTAATTTGGTGATTAGTAGTCCACCGCGCCGACCATATCGAGTTCTGGAATCGGGCGGCAGTCCATTCTATCCAATAGTATATCATCGATGTAGCCAAGCTATCCGATGGTAGATACACGATCTATGAGCTGTCGAGGATAAACAGGATGAGGCGGGTATCCCAACTCTTCCGGGAAACGGATTGGTGGGCTATTACAAGCATGGATAAGTAAGAATAGGGGAACATTTCTTGTGCTATCCAGTAGTCATATAGAAGTCATATCAACGGGTGTGATAGGTATATGTAGGTCGGCCATTCAATGGCCTATTCGCCGGTCATCTAACTTGCAGGAAACGCAGTGAGTGTAACGATGCGGCCCCGCCATTCCCTTCGAGTTTGGCAGGTGATGCGCGGCGTCAGGCGGGGCAAATTGCACAGACGCTGCAGCAGAACTCCCCTCAGGTGGAGGAAGTGCCGTTCGTGCTCGATATGTGCGTGTATGTTCCCGACGTGCAGCCCTGGCAGAGCCGATACAACGGCACGTTCGGGCTCGCCACTGCACAACCCAATATTGCTACTGAGGTCCGCATGTTATTTATCCTCCTCAGGGCCATGAATAGCTGATGAACCTCGTAATATATAGTCAGACATACGACCCCGCCACGCCCTACGTTAATGCGCTGAGCAGCTTGCAGCGGTTGGGCAGCAACGCGCGGCTAATCCAGCAGGCGGAGGGGCACGGGCACACCACCCTCAGCCAGCTGTCGTTTTACACCTTGGAGTTAGTGCAGGCATACCTGCTGGACGGTGTTGTGCCGGCGGACAGCCACACCGACCAGCAGCCGTTTGTGCCGCTTGCGAATCGGAATGGGGGTGGTTCTGGAGACCTTGACAGTCGCTTTATATATGCTCGCGCAGAGCGTGCTACTTTGACGGACAGGAAGGAGATCTCAGGACCATGGCGATATATCTCACTACTGTCTTTCTAACAAGACTGATGAAGAGTTATGGAGGCAGCAGCACGCACAGTGCGCCCTACACAACTCACCTGTATTGGTTGGGTGCTGTAGCTACTGGTAAAGCTCGTATAAACGACCCTTGTCATTAGGCAGCAGAGCTGTAGGGTTTATATACACAGTGGCCCATAGGCTGACTAAGCTACGTGGAATATCCCTAATCCTACTGAGCTCCACCTATGATGTCACTGACCCACATGAGTTCCGTGCCATTGTACAATAATGGAATATACCAGAATATTCCAGAGGGTTCCGGTATGTTCTGGTACGTTGTAGAACCTGGCAGCTAAGTCAGCGCCTAGTTCAACACTCCCCCTCGCTAAGTGCCGCGGATAATCGCACACGCAAGCGTTGGGCTGACTTAGATTACTTGTAGAACCTAAGTCCGAGTTGTGCTCTGAAGCGCAGGAACTTGACATGTCCCAAGTTCTTAGTGAACATGTCGGCAGGGTTATTCTCGCCATTGATGTAGAATACTTCAACTTTCTTCTGCTCGATGACTTCCCTGATATAATGATAGCGAATGTCAATATGTTTAGACCTTCGCTCGGTGACTGGATTAGATGCAAGGAATATAGATCCTTGGTTGTCACCGCAAATAGGGATAGGGCTGAGTCGGTAGCCTAACTCATCGAAGAGTTGTCTAACCCATACACATTGGCGACTACAATCACTGAGCGCCATGTACTCGGCTTCAGTGGAGGATAGCGCAACAGTCTTCTGCGCTCTCGACTGCCAACTGAATATGCCATTGGCTAATTTAAGGAAGTAGCCGGTTTGGGACTTCCTGGTACTGGGATCTGACACCCAGTCCGAATCAGTGCATGCAGTAATACCAAGTCCACTAGCGCCATCAAAAGCTAGTGTGTAATTCCGAGTCCTGATTAGATAGCGGCAGATATACAGCGCTTTATCTAAATGGGCTTGAGATGGATTAGCAGCAAATTGCGCTAACTTGGTCACTGCGTAGCTGATGTCCGGTCGATTTCCAAGCATAATGTAAAGCAAGGAACCGATCACAGTTTGGAACCGGCTACGAAGAGTAGGATTGACCAGACCATTGTTAGGCTCAGGTCGATAGCCTGCAGGGAGAGGAGTTGGCGCAGATTTTGCATTCTGCATGCCACAACGCTGCAGCACTTTATCAAGGTAGGCAATTTGATCGAGATGAATTTCTCGGCCTTGCCTTGTAATGCGCATGCGTAGGAATTCCTTGACATCGCCAAGGTCCCTGCATTCCCACTTCTTCATGAATCATGACTTAACATCTGTCACGAGGGACTTGTCCTTGCCAAAGAACAAGGCGTCATCAGCATAGACGACAATAATAACCATGCGGCCATTCTTCTCTTTGAATAAGAAGATGCCAGCATCGGTAGTTAGACGTTTGCAGCCTAATTTCTCTAGCAACTCAGCAAGTGTGCGCCACCAGGCAAGCCCCGCTTGCTTAAGCCCGTAGAGTGCACGGCACAGTCTACAAACCTTATGCTCCTGGCCTTTTACGGCGAAGCCTTCAGGTTGTTCCATATATATTTCCTCATCCAGTTTGCCATAAAGATAGGCATTGCGCACATCGAGTCCAGATATGTGCCAGTCCTCAAGTGCTGCTAGCGCGAGCATAAGGCGCACTGTCTCGAAGCGCACAACTGGTGAGAATATTTGGTCGAAGTCAATGCCTTCAACCTGCGAGAAGCCTTCAGTGACTAATCTCGCTTTACGACGTCCATCTGTTTTGACATCAAATACCCAGCAACATTTAATGACTTTACGCCCTTTAGGGCGGTCAACCAAGTCGAAGACTCTGTGCCAACGAAGTGCATCCAATTCTTCGTGGCAAGCAGCTCTCCACTCCTTCTGCTTCTCTGGTGGTAAGCGAAGGATATCGCGGTACGTCCATTCTCTGACATTGGACATGTCTGGATCGTCTGCCTCAGGCGAAATAGCTTTCAGAAGCAGCTAATTAATTAATGGTACTCCCCCTTCCCGGCATAGCTGTGCCAGAAGTAACTCATCAGCATCTTGTTCAGACTGCTGGTCAGAGGCTTCAGGAGCGACTAGCTCATGTGAAGCACCCGGGGATTGAGCAGGAGGGTCGCGAGGTGGAGGGGCAGAGCTAGGTCCGGGAACCTGTTGCTTCTGCTTGGACTGGCGAGGTATGTGAGACGTCTTGGATTTTTCGCTGACTAAATCCTTCCACTTCTTATCTGACTCAATCTTGCCATAGGTGTCTACGGGATTCCGTGATTCACCGTAGATATTACCCGGGCGAGTTACTGGTTTCCTTTCTCTCACCGGTCTCCACGGCTCATCTTGTGGCGCAGGATCCCCCGGAGGTGGAGAAAGCGGGTTCTCAGGCTCTCACGCCTCAGGCTGCACAGGTTCGTCATCACAATCCTGGCCTGGCCCCTTTTGGGATTTAGGAGGAGGACGTGAGCTTGGCTCATCGTCGTCAGTGATCCAGTCATTATCAGAATTATCTGGTTGACTGTCAGCTGGTTTAGGTTTACTCTGCAGCCGAGTGCTTGCCCGTCGCTTTGTATTGGGGCATTTAGGGAACATAGTTTCGTCAAACAGCGCAGTAGGCTGAGTGACTATACTATTA